TGCTGCAACGTTTACCAGGAAATGCTATTGGTATACACCTATTAAAATAACATGTAATAATTCAAAAGTTTGACACTGATGACAGGTAAAAAATAATTGAGGTAACTTATACACAGGTTTCTTAGGACCAGCCAAGCACCACCAACCTTAGGCTGTATTGACTCTGCTTTAACAGTGGCAGGAGCACGCCACCCACTGCTATTAGCATTTACTGTGCAGTGGTAAGCATTGCACATGCTCCTACTTTTTTTCACTGCACCTGGCAAAACAGTCAAACTCAAATGCACTTTATTTATAGGGTTCAACAGAACCTAGCAGCAGTAATATGAAGGGCTGCTCAGCCTCCCATTCAGGCTGCACTGATTGCAACCAGGGATACGCATAACTCAGAAGCCCATGAACACCTAGTCCTATACTGTGGAATATGTGGTATCTTTGCACCACCTACTATTCTTTCCTAGTGAGCATAACCTATTATAACTGTGTTTGTGGAATAGGGGTACAAGTGAATGGGATGTTTGTTTCACCAATATAACATAATGATCTAATGCTACAACTACTTCTAGTAATCAAAAAAAATACTCAAAGAATAGTACAAGTGCTGTACAATGACTAGGTTGTATGAGAAATCCACCATGAGACAGATGCTAAGGATGCAATTGCACTGATCTGTAACCAAAATGCAGCCACTGAGGTCACAACTACTGATTTGTATACTGTATACAGAAAATCAAATTGTTGAACCTGAAATACACAAATCATTTTGAAAGAGAATGATCCAGTGTTAAATCAATGTGCATTGTAACTAACAGCTACTGCACAGATGCTGGAGACATGCTTTGTTTTCTGCTACAGGCAAAAATTTTGATCAAACTATATTAAGGGAACTCTGGACTTTGTCTGGGGTTCTCCTTTTATGTGAGATTTTATAGCACTAAAGTGGATTAAACCAAAAATCAACTTATTCTGCTCCCAATGGTAAAAATGGACAATGGTTAACGGAAAAAATAGAGAGGGTGAATTTAACTAGCTGGGCAAAACAACAGGTACACTTAACTGCCACAATACCCCGCTCCTTCACCTACTTCCAGATATATGGGAGGATGTGGCTCCTTACACTTCCTTCAACAATGCAAAGCAGAGTGGTCAATTAAGAGACGCAAGTTTTGTCATATGTACGCAGGAGGAAAGTGCAGAGCCCTATACTATACCATACCATACTATGCATATATATTTTAAAAATAACAATAATGTTCACTAATATATGTTTAAATCACCATCATGGAACCATAGGCACATCTTCTACAATAGTCTACTATTGTCTATGGAATGCACATATTGCATGCATCTACAGATCCCACAGATGCTGAAAATGTGTGCCTGAACCCATTTATAAGCCTTGTTACTGGCCAGATGGGTACATGCGAGCCAATAATCCAAAAGAATGGACAAGGCAGCCCTCTCACTATAAAAAGGTGGGCTCCCAGCAGCCATATTATCAGTGTGTTTTGTGCTGTAGTGTGTGATAGGCTGCTATACTGTGCTGTACAGTGCTATACTGTAGATTTTAGTGTGGGGAGCTACATACTCTTGTTTGTGTAGCCCCAGCCCCCTCCCCCAATGTTCACAGTTCCATAGGCATATCTGTCCTTCTTAGAGAGAGAGAGTTCTATTCTATTTTCTTTATTGCTATTTTCTTTTGCAAGTGCCTTTTTAAGTATGGGGTGTGCAGCATACACCTGTTGTTATACAGTTGTTGGAGCTGCCCTTTTTTGCAGCACACCACCACATTGCTGTGCAGTAACTAGTGTGCATCAAAAGCACCAAACATATATTGCCTATATTGCCACAGTTTCAGAAAAAAATAGGCATTCCATTCCTTCCCAAAAGAATTCTGAGCAGCAGGTCTAAAGTGAAAGGCAGAAGTTTTGCGCATGTCGATAGTAGGGGGCGGGCAGGACCTGCATGACATAGTGCCGCATAAACTGGAGGTAGGGCAAGTGTGACTTTTTCCCCCAAAACGGTTGACCAGTAAAGTCATAGCACACCCAACAGATAGTTGACTGGCTGACAAAACCTTCTACACAGACATCCTCTAGGCAGAAAGCAGCCATTTGTCTGCCAGCGTTACTAATGTGACCTCTTCTTCCTCTTCCTCTTGTAGACTGTCTGTGAACATTTTGCTGTTCCAATATACCACAAACAGCTTAATTACATCACATCACATATTGTGAATAGCCCATACAGCAGCCCTTTGGTTCTACTGAACCGAAGGGGTCCTGGGGCCGAAGCTAGCCGAAGGATCGGCCAAAGCTACGGCTAGATCCTTCGGCTGCTTCGTGAATAGTTCCCATAGCAGATGGTACATTTTAAACATTTTCTAGAGCCTATCTAACAGTATCTAACAGTTTATTCCAGCGCTGTTTTTGCAGCACAATTTTGTAATTAGGGTTCTGCAAGAAAGACAGAGTTACGATTAAAAGCAAAAGTCAAAGGGCCAGGGAAAGCGTCTTTTTATCAATTGATATTATATAACACTCTTGTGAAATTGGATTATTCAGCTTTGTTCCTTAGTTACTATATGCTGAAAATAAAGATACACCACTATTTTACTGTCTTTGTTTACATGCTCTTGAAGGTGTATGCATGTATATTTGATTTGGTTTCCAAGATCACAGATATATGAAAAGAAAATGTGAATGCTTGCAGGACAGTATCCAAAGTATACCCACTGGCTCTGCTATACAGTATTTAAAAATCTATGTGAGATCAAATTTGTACCTACACCTTGCGGTGCAATACCTGTTATATTGGAAAAACCATTCTTAAACTGCAAGACCTTATAAAACTAAAAAATTCCAGGTAGGACTAACCACTCCTCCACTAAGAATTCCTTCTCCTGACATGAAGATAGACATAATTATATATTTATGTATTATCAAGGCTTTAGCTCTGTGATTTGCAAACAATACAGAAAGAGACATGGGTAACTGTGATTTTGTCCACATAGCAGCAAGGAAAGCAATATGCTTATATAGTATAATACGTTAATAAGATTTCTTCAATAGGTGTGCATCTTTTTTTTTTTTTACTGTGAGATTGCTACATTTTAATTTTGTTTTGTCCCAGCTGTAGTTAAACTGATCAAAACATATACAGGTGAATTATAATAGAAATCAATGTATGCCTTTTTGTTTTGGATTATTTGTTTGTTGGTGTATTTGATTACCTGAATTAAATGTAAAACTAAAAAGCAGTGAAAACAGCACAAATATATAGGGAACATATTATAAATATCTGGGTAGTGTGAAAAAAATATAATTTGTGGCTTCCCCCTACAATAAAAATACAAGACAGAAGGAACATTTGTTATTTCTTGTCTTCCTTGTTTGTAAAGTATGTTTATATTTTATTTGTTTGCCATTAAATGTTATCTAACATTATAAAAATATTATTAAATGTAGGTCATGTTAGTGTGCCCAACCAGTCTAGCCTATATTGGAAACTAATTAGACATTATTAGGACATTAGGACATTATAGCTGGCTTCAAAATTGTTGTGGGTAACTGCAAATTTGCCCATCTTCATGCTGTCATGAATAATTTTGTAAAAATACCCATGACTATTGAGCCATAGCCATGTGATGCTTAGCAAGCATAGAGAAATAGTTTTTTTGAAATGGTGCTTGGTAATCTCTATTTATCGATGAGTGCTTTGCATGGTATATGTAATATACTGTCCTATTAAAATTTAGAAAATATTTTTTGCATTTAATCTCACTCCACTACTTATCTTAATGTTTTAGATAATACTTGGACCCGCTTTGTTGTCATACTAGAAGATGTACGACAAATACACTTTGTTTATGAAAGATTCACAGTGTATTGTGGTGATCTTAGGAGACAACTAGTTCTGCCATGTTGATTTACTAAAGCAGTTAGGCCAGGCAAGAAAATGGGTGGTTGTTATTGGTGACTTGCTCATGTCTGCAAGTGTTGAATTAAATCCCTATGATAATGTCTAATTTTTAGGAACTGTGACTGCACTCTCTACTGACCAGCTTACTAAATTGAAAAAATAAATAAAGACAATGTTAGGTGAAACATGAAATGTAAAAAAAATTAAATATTTTACTCAAAACACTTGCTAGATCTATATACTTAATGGGTAGCTAAATGTAACAGTCAGACGAAAGTAAAAGAACATCTGCCGAGCATTGAGCAAAGATAAAAATACAGCTTATACATCTTAATCCATCACCTTTCCTGTTGCTAAACTTTTTTTGGTCAACGGTATGTGTAGGAAATCCACCATGAATGTCCTATTGTCTCTTCCATCTCTCCTCCATTTTTCATCATTTAACAACTAATTCAAATGGGTGGGAAATTTAAAGAGGAGATTATTTTCAGATTTGACAGAGGACTTTATTTTCTAAATGAGTTTTGGTTACTCTCTGGATAACGTGTTTCAAAAACCCAGTTATGTACCTTGGAAATTAAAGAATTTTCCCTGCACATAAATAGATGTTGGAAGCCAGCAAATGCTCAAAGGGGCAGTTAAAAAAGTACCCCAGAATGCTTATGTTGATTAAGCTTCACGCTTTGATGACACCATAATTTATCTTTTAGAAGATACTGCCTGACTTTGTAGTGTAACTGACAAATACTGTTCTAAATGGATGCTATAGATCAGTTAATTGTGTTTTCATTGCTATAATGTCAACACTGGAGATGTATGTTAGGAACAGGAAGTCTAGAAGTTCAGGTCAGTGAAGCCTAAATGTAAGTTAAGCTGTAGAAACTCTCTGAAGTAAAGGCTTTAGCAGATGACTTTGTGGTAGATATGGAGCATTCCAAAATCATGCAATTTATGATTTATTTCCAAAATGTTAAAATGCAAATTGTCTAGGATCCATGTTTATCTTAGGACATCTTAACAGTGAAACAAACAATGAAGACATGAACAGCTAAAACTCCCATATTTCCAGAGTATGTACTAACCTGTCTCTACTTCGTCGTGAAGGGAAAGCAGCATTGCAACCAGCTACTGTGCAGACATGCATCTCTTTCAGATGAACGTTCCTGTAGTGCAGCTTCACACTGTATGAGCTTTTGAAACTCTTTTTGCACACATAGCAAATTTTAGGATCAGGACTTGAGCAGAGGTCACTCTCCGGAGAGAATTTCTGAGGGCTTCCATAGTTCAAAGATGAACCTAAGCTTTCATGAAGTGCAGCCATGCTGGCACTACCCCCATTATAAAGTCCATAGTGGCTCATGTAAAACATATCATATGTAGGGTCTGTAAACTCTTCTTTTACCTTTATAACAGCCTGCTGATGACAGTTAATGTGATTCTCAAAGGATTGCTCATTGTCTGTCATAGACCTGGAATTACTTTCTCTGTGAAGTGGAAGGTGATCATCTTCCATTGGTTCATCACAAAACTTTGGCTCAGATGATTCTGATTCATTTTCAAAATCTCTCTCATGTTCTGGGTCTTCTGAAGTTATACTGTTTGCTCTGGTGTCTGTCCTCAGAATACATCTGCTATTGCCATTTTTTGAGTAACTGTTGATGGACAACCCAGGACTTAAATCACCTTGAGAATTGTTATCTTGGTTCATGTCATTTATGGAATGGCCATGATCAATGCTTTCTTCTTCCTCATCAAATTCATCAGCTGTATCGATGACTTCCTTCTCAATTTTGACAGGCATGCTTGATTTCCGTGGCTTTTTCTTGGGAGCCAGGTCTGTGTTTGCATCCTGTGTTGACATGTTGAGCACAGATGGTGGTAACTCTTGTGGCAGAGAAGGAAGAGGTTGTTCCATCCCCAGAGGTGCTGGCAAAATTGGACTGGTAGGTAGTGATGATGGAGGGCTAACCATGTCTCCTGAATGTAATAAACTTCTATAAAAAGGAGGAACAGGCTGTACAGTTTTTAATGCAGGAAACACCAGTTGGCTGGAAAGTGAATTTTGCAAAAGAGGGTCCAAGGGTGGTGTTGAAAACCCCATTGGAGGTCGACCAGGGCTTGTTAGAGATAGGCTTGATTTTGTACTTGCTATAACAGGGGTAGCTGCTCCAGATGTGGCACGGATTAGGTCCTTATCTCTATTGTTCCTCAGCATTGGCATGTGAAGCCGAGGATTGGGATTTGCACTATGCCGATTTCTACTTCTAAGAGAACTGAAAACCATGTTGCAGCCTTCAATGGTACACCTGTGTTTTATCTTAAGATGCACAGCATTGTAGTGAATTTTTAGAGTCCCCTTATCATAGAAGGTTTTTCCACATGCATTGCAAAATACCCTGCCTTTCCGTGATGATGATCCCATCCGCCTCATTCTGTGAATCTTAAAGGAACTTTTGACATGGTCAGATTTAGAAATGTCACTGGCAGGCTGTGAGTTTGGTGAAGGGGAGGAATTATTTGGCTCTGATTTTGGCTCGACATTTGTGATGCTACTCAAAGCATTTCTATTGGACGGTTGCTCACTCCTATTGTAAGGCATGGGGGAGACCTCAGACTCACTGGTCTCTTCACATTCATTCTGATTTGAATTATTAGGTTCCCGCAACCTGAGTCCAGGGTGTTCTAACATAAGCCCATTAGGAGGTAGTCCAAGCATAGGTGCTGAGACTGGATTAATATATTGGAATGGAAGGAGGAATGCTAGGCTATTGGGCATGTTTTCAAAGTGGTGAATACTAGAAGGGTTGCTGTTTTCTAAGTGAGAGAGAACGCTCGGACTCCTGGTGCGGTTGTTGCCTTCAATAAAAGTTCTTATGTCTGAATCAGCCTTTGAGGAAGGAACAGCCACTGCCTGTCCTTCTTTTTCTTGAATGGCCATCAGCTCCACAATAGATTTTGTTTCTCCAAACCTTAGAAACTGCTGCAGAGTGATGATCTCTTCTTCCCGGGACATAATGGCCCAGCGGTCCAGGACTTTGCCAGCAGTGTCCTAGAATAAACGTAACAAAAATAAAAGAAACACACATAAAATGTTATAGAAATGTATTTTGTTTGTTTGATAAGTACAAATGAGCAAGTTACAATGAGCAGATAGTGAAGAAACTTTTTCTATCATGTAAATGTGGTAATTACAATCACAGCAAAACAGACTGTATTAAATAATGTCAAAACAAACACAGCATATAGCACTACAACTCCGTGAAACTAACTGCATGTAACCTTGCTATTTTAACAGTGTGATCTAGCTGTGATGCAACTGTTTAGCATAAGATGTAATATATTACTGTGAAAATACGTAGCAACACTGTATAATGCGGCATAAAACAACTGACTTTTGCCCAGTGAACCTAAAACAAAAATGTACTTAATTTAAAACAGCATTTTAAATTGCATTTAGAAATCAACACTCAAGAATCTGAAGTAATTAAGATAGAATTCCAGTCATAACCTTATATTTGGCTTTGGATAGCATGGAGAAGGGTTTGAACCTCTGTTAGATTTTTTTTGTATGTGTCCCATGTTAGATATATTTTCCTTTGCATACTAACCCGATGACCAAACAGAAAATGAAGAAAATCTCCCCAATGGAGTTATAGATAACAATATAAGAATTTTGCAATAAGAAAGCCAAACACCCTGTGCATACTTGTTGGGACCCTCTGTTCAATTCCCAGACACTCTGCATAGAGTTTGCTTGCTCTCCCTTCGCATGCATAGGTGTTACCCGGGTACCCCATGAGCACGTCTAGACCAGCAAGACAGGGGGTCATGCCATATCCCTAAAAGAACATAGAAATAATCATATAGATGTGTTCTGGTGATGATGTTGACATTCACATGGAATTCTAAAAACGTAACTTTTTTGTTATACAGAATTCATAAATCAAACAAAATAGACTTGGTATTCATCCATATGGTTAACAGCCCTTTGAAAAGTTAGCTACTTCCACATATAGTACTCTTAGATACCCCACCAATCAGTCTTTCATAATGTCAGCACATCAGCCAAGTATCTCAGATTTGTCTGATGGGGTAAGGATAGATTTTAAGATTCTATGATCTGCTTCCTATGCTTCCTATGGATTTGTGGAGAGCTTATCTGAAATGGGTTATATAAACATCACAGGTTTTGTATTATTTTATCAGCATTGCATTACCAATAACTTGAAATATTCTTAAATAATAATGTACTGACTCTCATATATGCTGGACCATACATCGCACAGATAAAATGCCCAAGTCTGATCCTCATCCAACAGTCAGCCCTGATGGGTAGGCAGAAGTGCACTAGAAGACACATCCACCATGATGAAATAGAGACGATTAGCCTGATGTGGAAGGGGACTCTAGCTGTATGGGCTATTAAAGGGAAAGCAACCTCAGAAGCTATTGCTCCCAACTCACAGCCAAGAGATGGTAATAAGGCTGCCATTTATTCATAGAAGGAGAGGTAACCAAAAATGAGGGTGCATACCTACCCAATGCCAGGTCCACATATACATGAAACAACATCTAAAACAATAGTTGCTTTATGATTGTTTTAAGTGTTGCCTTGCGTATATGCGGACCTGGCATTGGGTAGGTATGCACCCTCGTTTTTACTTTGAAGCACATTTTAGACTGATACCTACTCACTTTTTAAAATATTATTTTTAGATTTTCACATGAGAATAGATCTGCTTTGCTACTCCTGGGGGTTCCCCTTTAGGTCCTCTACTACTCCCTGTTAAATGAGGGTCAGACTTAGGCGTTTTATCTGGATGATGTATTGTCCAGCATATATGTGAGTAAATACATTAATATTCAAGGATATTGCAAGTCATTGGTAATGCTATGGTGATAAAATAATGCAAAACTTCTGATGCTTTATATAACCTTTTTCAGATAAGCTTTCTACGCTTGCCGAAGAGGCTTATCATACAATCTGTTGAAGGTTCATAGTGCTATCCCTACCCCATCAGACAAATCAGACAATATGAGGTATTTGCACAGGTACTGATATTATGAAAGACTGACTGGCTCTGTAGACACTTTATGTGGAAGTAGCTAACTTTTCAATGATTTGTCAACCATATGGATAAGTGCTTAGTCTATTTTATACTTGATTTTATTAATTTTGTATAACAATAAAGGATATAATTTCTAGAATTTCAGGTTCAATTTGTTACTGTAGCACCTGAAAATTCCCAGAACCCATCTTTAGTTGTATTTTTATGTTCCTCCTACACTCTAAAGACATGCTGGTAGGTTAAATGGCTAATGTCTAAATTGACCCTGGTATGGCTGAGCATGTATGTATGCATGTGTGATAGCTTCCTTGAGGGCAGGGACTGATGTGAAGTATATAAAGCACTGTGTAAATTGCTGGCACTATATACATGCCTGTAATAAATTAAACTGACTAATTAAGACATTCCCATCTCTAGTAAGAGAGAGGCAACTAGAAAAATTAAATATAATTTTGCAATATTTTAGGTTCACCTAATTAGAAATTATTTATATATTCTAATTTTATTCAGTATACATTCCCTTTACTTTCCCTTTTTCCTCACTGTAAGGAATAGTAATATTTATCATCATGCTTTCCAAAACAACAGCCATGATGTTAAAAACAACGATGTGACATAATCATTAAGGACACACATAAGGTTTGAGGCATACTAGTGCCAAGCAATATCAGTACAGTCACACAAACTTTAATCCAAAAAGGTTACTAAGCAACAACACAGTCTGGATAAGAGATTAAATGTGAATAAAATGTAGTATTTTGGAAAGTAAACCTGTGGTTATTGTAAAAATAAAGCATGTTTCCAGACAGGAATTCTGCTTTAAAGTCTTCCAACATTTTGGTAGTCCTAAAAATATTTTTACAGCTTTTAATAATGCTCCTAAGAGCATGTAAAGTATAGGCAGCGCTTTATGAGATGGTAGCTTGCACTTTTAACATCATAGCAAAAATGCTCTTATATGTATGATATGCTATAACATACTAACATTGCCTTAGTTTTACAAAGCATTATTGTAAGTCATTATATGTTCTATGAGGTAAGAAATGCAATTTAATATTTTAAAGCATTCATTTAAATATATTGGCAACAATAGTTATTTTACTGTCATATATATACACATATACTGTTACCATTTATTACCAACAAACCCTGTCATGTTTTACATGAGGCTCCTATAGGTCTATCAAAATGATTCAGCTTACTTCCATCTAAGGCCCCTTTCACACAATCCAATCAGGAGGTGATCTGTGCATGGATCCCGTGCTGATCAGAATGGATGTCAACATTGTGACATCTATGTCCATCCAGTTTTTTCCTCTACCCCATGTTGGTTTATGGAGAAACAGATGTACTTTTTACATCAGATTACCACCCATCTGGCACAATTAGGTCTAGCAAAACAGAACTCTGACCTGTTTCGTGGGTAACCAGATGTACATTTAGATCTGGCTGCCCATAGACTAACATTAAACCTGATAGGAAAGCCAGTGTAAAACGGCTCTAACACAACTGCAAAAAAAACAAACATGATCCTTTATAAATTATGAAATAATTAAGACATACAGTATTAACAAATGTAAGTTGTATGACAAGCTTCTTTATATATGTTAAATTTCACAATAGCATGGCATAAATATGAACAGCAATAGCTCACCCGCTGTGACACAGGTGTAAGTTCCCAAATACATTTTTTAACAATAATATTTTTATTAAGTATAAGAGCAGGAGCATACAGAGTCCAAAACAGTAGGTTGAATACACATGTCGACATAACAGTAAGATCGGTAGTTTCAGAGCACTTATCAGCGGTAAGTTCCCAAAATTTTACATGTAGCACTTTTGAGCATTCCTCTTCCTCCATGCGTAAATGACAGAATAGAGCAAATCCAATGCCATTACCAAGTAATTGTTGATTACTGGGCTTTAGTGTCTGGCAGAGGTGTCTAGATTTTAACACTGGCTAAATAGAATTGCAATTTTGTTGGCTGAAAACAGTTCTCACATATGAATTTCTAATGTGTAATTGTCTGTTTGTGTACACCAACTGCATGCTTTAACAGTTTCCCATAATCGATTTATATTTATTCATAATCTATTGTCACATATTCAAAGCTGCAAAACTTTTGGAATTTGTGGCAAAAGCACTGTAGGTTTAGTACAACATTTTAAATGCATAATTACATGTTGTAGAAGTGTCTGCATTTAACTTTTTTTTTTTAAATTGATGAATTGTATTCTGCTTCATCACTTGTATCCTAGCTTACCTATCTTGTGTGCAGGTTTTTCCCAATTTTTTTTTCATTATTTGGCCTATAGATCACTGCTGCATGGGTAAACAATCATCAAATTCTGTCAGAAAACACCCAAAGCAAGAAATTGTACCTTTATACGTTTATAAGTATACTCCTGCATGTGTTTGTAGAACAACGAAAAGTGGTACACCAGCACCTTGGGTTTCAAAACTTACCACCACAAATGTCAGATGATATCTCTCAATACAAATCAATGTACTATCTGTACATTAGATACTACTAAAATATTGCATTATAATTCTAAAATGCCTTAAACACGCAACTACACCAAAATCCAATACATTACACCTCTGATTATTTTTTCTATTGTTGTTTGCACTCCATCGTGTTCCTAAAACTTAACAGCATCTGCTAGATGACCTCTGGACCGGGCCTATTATCTTGAACAGCAAAAGAAGAATTTATTATTAAGACTATGCAGTGTGTAGTCCTCTCCTCTCATGAACTGATGATATGATTGCAGCTGACCTGCGGGCAAGGATAAAATGTGTGAGGATGTGACCCAGACATAAGGACATACTTTGTCCGACATCTGAGTCACGTCTGAAGCAAGGGATGAGTGCAGGATGATTAGCTTTGAAGATGCAAGCTGTCAGCTTAATATCTTGCATAAAGAGTCAAACACAAGGTTCACTGAAGTACTTTCAAGAGTCAAAGCATGTAGAAGA